TAAATAAACCGCCCTCTGTTCTCAGTGGTAGAAGCAAACTACCTCCGAGTAATAATGGACAAAGGACTAACGTTTAACAAACACGTAGAAGCTACAATACAAAAAGCCAATATGGCAAGAGCCGCAATAAGAGGTCTAGCAGGAAGAAAAAGCAAACTCCGCCTTAAAACCAAAATAAGATTAATAAACAGTATAGTTCTTTCTATACTGACCTACGCGTCACTTGCATGGGGACACATATGCAACACAACCAAAAAGAAAATACAGGCACAACATAACAAAAGCCTAAGAGAAGCGGTAAACGTACCAAGATACGTAGCTGAAAGATTCCTTTTCAGAGAATTACAGCAAATCAGAGTGACTGACACAATGAAAGAAAAGGCAAGGATAAAGTTTGCAGAATTAGAGAAAATGAGGTATGACGCTTTCCACAGATGGAAGCACAAAAGACCGAAACAACAGATAGTAGACTAAAAGAAAACCAGAGAGAGAAATAAAAAACCCCCCAGAGGGAAACGTAACCCTACAAAACCCCAGAGCGAGAAGAAATTCCAAAATCATAACACACACACACACACAAGGAAGATTAATTACTATTTAACTGGGAATAAGCCACAATTAAAGATAAAATACGTTTGTTGACGTTTCAATTTCCACTTCGGAAATCGTTCTCAAAATACAAACAGTAAATTAAACAAATTTTGTTTTTGTTACATAGTGAAAAATTCTTCTAATAATTTAATTTTATCTGACTCATTTATATTGACAATTCAGACATACATTATGCATTTTAAAGTAGACGAGTTTAAAATGATATTGCCAATATTGTTGAGTTGCGCTCCTGGGACGACTTTACTTATAAGATAGTTCATTCGATTACATGAAATCAACTTTATCTTGAGAATATCGGTCAGAAAAAATCATAGCATGTAATTCGTCTTTAAAAAGACAAACACATGACATGATGACAGTAAAATTCTCCTGTTAGTGATTCCATAGAAAATTATGAGGGAAAAACCAGGAAAAAACCTCATAATACTATCCCGACATTGTAAGTATTTGTTCGTGAATTTAGTTTACCTTCAACAAACATCAAAATTCTTATTTTATGTGTTACGTTATTTAAAAAACATTAATGATGTATCCTCTATATATTACTGACTTACTAATACTCGTATTTTCTTATTAATAACTTCCTCTTTCAATATTGGTAACCAGATCGTACTACATTCTGCCGAGGAATTTGCAAACTCAAACTCAAACCCACAGTATGGTGGAGGTATGTAGATGATTATTCTCAATATGGCCTCATGGATCAGAGTTGTTGGACACATTCCTAAATGATATAAACGATAAAGAAGAGACAATAACATTTACCATGGAAAAGGAATATAATAACACGCTACCTTTCCTGGATGTACGATGGAACGATACTGGATATGAGACTCAGGTGTATAGAAAACCAACACACACCAATAGATATTTAAATTTCAAATCAAATCACAATATTAATGTAAAAAAGGGAATAATTAAATCCTAATACGATAGAGCCAAAATTACTTGTTCTAACGAAAATTCGTTCTTGGAGGAGAAACATTTGTTAACATCTGTTTTATTAAAAAATGATTATCCTTTATCGTTTATAAATAAGGAATTTTCAACAATCGATCGAATAGAACAGAACAACTTAGAACGAGATCCTACAGCATACACAAGGAATAATATGAGGAAAATAACAATACCGTACATAAAAGGATTATCAGAAAAACTTAAAAGGGTGGGAAATAAATTCAACATTTCAACAACATTCAAAAACAACAAACACGTTGAGATCTATTTTGTCCAAAACCAAACCTAACAATAAACAAGAAAGGACAAAGAATTGCATTTATAAAATACCTTGTGAATGCGATCAGTTTTATTTAGGTGAATCATCAAAGCCATTAAATGTTAGAATAAGTGAACATCAATCTTATATTAAAAATAGAGAATTTGATAGATCTCAAATATGTAAACACGCATGGGATAATGAATATAGGGTTCAATGGAATAATTCAAATGTAGTCCTAAAAGAATCGGATGTTAAAAAAAGAAAAATCAAAGAAGCGTCTCTAATTATGCTAAATGAGGCCAATTGTGTCGCAAATTCCTCTGCAGAATGTAGTAGGATTTAGTTACCAATATTGAAAGAGGAAGTTATTAATAAGAAAATACTAGTATTAGTAAGTCAGTAACATATAGAGGATACATCATTTATGTTTTTTAAATAACGTAACATATAAAATAAGAATTTTGATGTTTGTTGAAGGTAAACTAAATTCACGAACAAATACTTACAATGTCGGGATAGTATTATGAGGTTTTTTTTCCTGGTTTTTCCCTCATAATTTACTATGGAATCACTAACAGGAGAATTATACTGTCATCATGTCATGTGTTTGTCTTTTTAAAGACGAATTACATGCTATGATTTTTTCTGACGGATATTCTCAAGTTAAAGTTGATTTCATGTAATCGAATAAACTATCTTATAAGTAAAGTCGTCCCAGGAGCGCAACTCAACAATATTGGCAATATCATTTTAAAGTCGTCTACTTTAAAATGCACAATGTATGTCTGAATTTTCAATATAAATGAGTCAGATCAAATTAAATTATTAGAAGAATTTTTCACTATGTAACAAAAAACAAAATTTGTTTAATTTACTGTTTGTATTTTGAGAACGATTTCCGAAGTGGAAATTGAAACGTCAATAAACGTATTTTTATCTTTAATTGTGGCTTATTCCCAGTTAAATAGTAATTAATTTACAATGCCACAAGAAAATAGCTTCAGAACAATACACAAGGAAGATAGTTCGTAGCTCAAATCACCCAGGATACCGCATATCGCCTCGTACACAGTGGGCCCAGCTGCTCATACAAGGATACAGTCTGTATTGTGGTATCGTATAATATTTTATATATTTTCTTTATTATAATATAGACTATATACTAATTATGATTTTTTGTCCATAGGTTACCTACAAAAAAAAATCACAAAAAAACACAAAAAAACACAAAAAAACGGCTTCGGCCACCAAAAAAAAATTAAAAAATTACTAACAAAAACCGGCTCCGGCCTCCAAAAAAATTAACAAAAACCCCAAAACCCGGGCACGTAGGGCCCAACTCCTTGAGCACCAAGTCGCCGAATTGAGCCGGGACTCAGAGCGAAGACTTGAGGCCCAAGTAAGCAATTTTAGTTCGCGGATAAGCCACATTAAGATAACAGGAATATAGCGGAGATGCGCTGTCCTGAGTTTTTGCAATCGGTTAGGAAACCATGTTGGGGTTTCCAGAGGACCCAGAGGACCTCCACATGAAGAGCATTTGGCTGATTGTTGTGCCTCTATAGCTCATCAGAGTGCTATAGGGGGGAAAGGGATGGTCTAGAGCATTGGAGCACGGTGGGGTGACTCCTGTTTTTACTCGAGTTAACACACCTTGCTCCAATGAATTGTTACACCCGATCGTACTACCTGGGTGAATATTTCTCATAGGCTGGGTTCAATTAAATTGCTTGCTTGCTTTCTTCAGTGGTAGTAGTGAAGGGATTATTGATCAGTGTATTAGTGTCTGGGGGCTGGGGAAACTAAGACCTCGGAAGCACTGAAGAAGACATCAGAGGGAATTCAACGGTTTGAATTCCGGTTTAATCCGGAAGACAGGTGAGGTTAATATTAATTTTTATAATAGATTAAAATTAAATCTTAGCTCTTGGTTTAATATACATAATAACAAAAGAATCAGAACCAAAATGTGAGCAGAGTAACGTCAAGCTCTCGGTGAAACATATTATAGACTGTCCAGTTTTTAGAGTGTATAGTATAGAATGTACATTACTTACAAGCTATTAATTTTGTAAATATGCATCTAATATTCAATTTTTTAAAGATTTGCTTTTCGTTAATAACCTTTGAATTTGTAAATTTGTAAATAAAAAAATATATTTCTTAGTTTTTTTTTATCCCAATGGTGATTAAAATTTAGAAAACAAAAATCGTAAAGTGTTTAGAGAAAATATCACTATCTGTGACATGCGTACTTTAGATATACATTTTTAAAACTGTATTTGTGAGAGGATCTCATATTTGTTTTTCGTGACATGTTCATTTAAGTGTCTGCAGACCAAAAGAAAATAAAGGTTATGTAAGGGCCATATACATAAACGAAATGTGTAAATATACAAAGTGCAGTCCAATAGTATGTCCAAATATAATATATTGGTTATTATCGAAGATATCAAAAAAGTTATTTACAAAAACTATAAGTGAATTATTTACTTCTCATTACTTAATTATTTTCGTATGTGTCTACAGATTGTAACATATTGTCATTGTCAACCAAACATACATCTTTTCAAATAGAACACCCTATACGTTATTTCACAGTTAGATTTAGCTCTTATTTCCCATATTTCTAATTCTAATATACAGTTTTATTACACTATATGGAATATTTCAAAAGTATGGACAATTCTATAAGAAAGCCATTCTCATTTCAACGTCCGGTAGGCTCTATACAGAAAAACCAGATTTTTTGCAAGCAAAACTTTTTGATATTGATCCAGGTTTAAGAGAAGGTGCTATTTTTTTATTATTACAATAATTTATCATTAGACGAGTTAAAATAAAAAATAAAAAAAATGAATATACATTTTTTTAGAAATTTGAGGTCCGCTCAATGATTTTTCATTTTTATTAGAGACTTCCAATAACTAAGGCTATTAATTTTACAAAAATGTTTCCAATTTCATAAAAAAATTTCATAAATTGATAATTTATTAATGTTTGTATTTTGAGGACGATTTACGAAGTGAAAATTGAAACGCAAATTAACTTATTTTAACCTTCAATTATGGCTTATTTTCATTAAAATAGTATCTAACTTATATATGTATATGTTATATATATCTTGAATAAAAAAAAGTAATTTCATGCTAAAAACGTATTAACGAACCTTTGAAATAATCTCGTTTTTCATCTCCTCCATAACAACAGGCAGATTTTTCTGTATGTTAATGACCGCCTCGAACGTCATCTGCAATTGCTTTTTTTCTTTTTCGTTCATTTGCATTAAAATCGTTTCGAATGCCGCCAATCTTTCCTCCAACCTCGCGATGGTTCCTTTGACCGGATCTAATGTTTTTATCCTCTTATCGATGTTTATCAGGCCTTTCTTTAATTGCTCGCCGAGCACCCTGTCGCGTTGCTCGTGTTTTTCTAATTTGTCACCCGTCACTCGAACTACATTGACCATTTGTAACATTGCTACCTTGATATCTTCATTTCTGAAAATTAAAATAATTATGATTATAATATATATATATATATATATATATATATATATATATATATATATATATATATATATATATATATATATATATATTCTTCTTCTTGTTAATGTGCCCTCTCCTCAATGGAGGTTAGCTACTACAATTTTAAACTATTCTCTATCTTCAGCTGTTCTTATTAGCTGTTCAAAATTTAGCCCTGTCCATTGTCGGATGTTTTTGAGCCACGATAGTCTTTTCCTTCCTAGGCCTCTCTTTCCCTCGATTTTTCCTTTCACTATAAGTTGGGCATATTGGTACTTATTATTTCTCAGTATTTGGCCTAGGTATGATGTTTTTCTAACTTTTACTGTGTTAAAAAGTTCTCTTTCCTTGCCTATTCTATGCAGCACTTCTTCGTTTGAGGTATGCGATGTCCATGAAATTTTGAGTATTTTCCGGTAGATTCACATTTCAAAGGCCTCCAATTTATTTCGTAGTCGAATTTCGAGTTTTATTCGAGAATCACAAAGCAGTTTTTTTATTTTTTCGAAAGATTTTCTGGCCTGTTCTATTCTCGATCTTATTTCTTGATCAGGATTTAGGCTGCTATCGATCCAACATCCCAGGTACTTAAATCTATTGACCTGTTCTAAGATGTGCTCATTTATTGTGCAAGGTTGAGGTACGTTTTGGTTTTTTCGGATTGACATCACTTTGGTTTTTTTAATGTTTATTTTCATACTAAATTGCTCACAGGTCGAGTTGGTCTTGTCGATGAGTCGTTGTAGACCGTTGTATATATATATATATATATATATATATATATATATATATATATATATATATATATATACAGTGCTCTTCAGATAAAACTATCCACCTTAAATAACTTTTGAACCTCTAATTTTTTGGAAAACGCAAAAACACGTCAATACCATATTTAAGGTTGCTGGGAAATGCACCCTTTCACCCCCTGTATCAACCCTTTATTTTTTTTAAATTACTTCTCCTTTTTTTTATTTTATATTTAGATTCTCCTTTTTGTGATGATTTCAAAAATGTATAATACCTTTGGCTTAAAGTGATTAGTTTATGAGATAGACAATTTTCCCGTTAACAAGGATACTATCTCTCTCACCTTAAATGACTGTAACAAAATAGGTTGTAGCAGAATTTAAACTTTTTAAATACTTAACCTTACTGTTTGCAGTACCTTCAAAAACCAAGTAATAAAAAAATTCACTTTTTATTAAAGTTTTATCAAAAGTAAAGGATATCCTTTCCGAAGATTTGGTTGTATTTTAACATGATAGAGCTTCTCCACACTTTGCTTTACCTGTGCGATAATTTTTAAACGAAACGTTTCTTGGTCCTTGGATAGGGTAAAGACGATAGATGATCGATTAACCACCTAGGTCACCGGATTGAACACCCCTAGACTTCTTCTTTAAAGGGTATTTAAAAACAAAAACTTATGCTATTCAACCAGGATCTCTAGATCATATACGACAAAGAATAGAGGATAAATGTCGACAATTAAATGCAGACGTGTTAAGCAATGTCAGAGAAAAATTTCAAAATAGATTATACTATTGTATGGAAGTGAAGGTCAGTCATTTTGATCAATTATTATAAAAAATTTTAGTAGTGAAATGTTCATTCTAAATGTGTGTAATAAATTGTTAAAAAATAATTTTTTTTCTATCCAATTTTCTTGCTTTTGTATTTATTTTTCTCGTACACTAATCACTTCAAGCATCATATATTATACATTTCTGAAATCGGGACAAAGAGGAGAATCCAAATATCGAATAAAAAAAGGGGGAAGTAATTGAAAAAAATAAAGGGATAACACGAGAGGTGAAAGGGTGCATGTCCCCCCCTTCAAATATTAATTGACGTGTTTTTGCGTTTTTGCTAAAATTTAGAAGTTCAAAAGTTATTTAAGGTGGATAGTTTTATCTGAAAAGCACTGTATATATATATATATATCAAGTGGTGATTCTTGAGGATGCAGTCAGTCTATTTGGCCCACAAGACAAAGAAAACTCTTTGACTTACTGTCAAGCTTAATTTAATTCTTTTTCAAGACATCTGTTAACAAAGAAATATAAAATTTAACTAGTTATAATTGTTAATTGTTTTTTTTTTTCGTGAGATTACAGTTAATATTGTACTTTAAAAACCAAACCATTACACATATAATAATTTTTTTTAAAATAACTATATTGTCACTATATCTTATACGCTCTTGATGATCTCATTAAGGAATGTTTAAAAATAATACCTTATCATATTCCATTTGTTAAACGTTTTGTAGATGATTTGATCGATTTGATCCTAGCTGTACCCAATGACAAAATAACTGACGTCCTAAATATTTTTAACAATCAATGTAGCCAATTACAATTCATTGCAGAAAGAAAACAAAATAACAGTCTCCCTTTTTTAGATATGATTGTCCATCGCACACATGACAGTAGTCTCAAAACAAAATGGTATCGAAAACCAATTTCTAGCAATAGATTCATAAATTACTATTCTAAACATCCTACAAAAATTAAAATAAACTTAATTTTGGGGCTAAAAAGCAAAGTAACTAGAATAACTCATCCAACATATAGAGAACAAAATTTAAAGAGACTACAAAACATACTAATGGAAAACTCTTATCCCGTAGGCTTACTCAATAAATTAATTTTTAGTACTGCAAACTTTCCAGCCTCCATCACATTGATCGACAATTCCAGACAATATCAGTTTATAGCTGATTTTTAACTCTTGAAATGTGAGAACGAGCATTTTTTTATACAGCATGAAAAAGTACGACTTTACACCGAGTAATTTTCGAGCTTCGGCTTATAGCTTAATATTCACTTTCCACAAGGAGTAGTTAAGAAGTGAAAAATTAATAGGGTGGTAATAAATTTGTAAAAACCTATCAAAACACTGTGGTACTTTAAAAATACATAAATTTTTTAATTCTGCTGTCTCGAATATTTAGCTAGCGGGAACTTTTCTAAATAAAATTGCTTTAGTGGTGGAAAAGTATCAGTGTGATGAAGGTGTAGCAAAAACTTATCAGAACACTTTGTTATTTCAATTATAAGTAGAGTACAGTGGAATATTAAAAAAAATTACTATAAATTTTAACCTAACAGAATTATTGATTGATAGAGTACAGTAAAATAGTAAAAATAGATTTTTCATCACCTAAAATTTTAACCTAAGAATTGTTGACATTCCACATGGGTTAGTTGGGGGTGAAAAAATACTAGGGTGGTAATAAATTCGTAAAAAAACTAGCAGAAAATGTGGTATTCAAAAAATAATTTTGATTAATTCCGCTGGCTCGAATATTAAGCCAGCAGTTTTCAAATAATATTGGTGTAGGGGTGAAAAATTATCCTGGTGATTAAAGTTTAGTCTAAACTTAACACTTTTTTACTTACTTACTTACTTAGTCCTAAGCCTTTCTACCGTTAGGTGTAAGGCTGGTGGAGTTAAGTTTTGCACTGCTGTCTCCATGCTTTTCGGTCTTGTGTTAGATATCGTGCATTTTCCCATGTCAATCCTTTCTTCTCAACTCCTTTTCTGATTTCGTCTACCCACCTAACTCTTGGTCTTCCTCGTTTGTTTTTTCCTTGCACTCTCGTTTCAAACACTCGTTTTGTTAATCTTTCATTCGACATTCTACACACGTGCCCGAACCATCTTAGTTGCCCCTCTACTATTTTTTTCTTTATTGGTTCTAGTTTTAAGTTTTGTCTGATTGTTTCATTTCTTATTTTGTCTGTCCTCTTTCTATTTGCTATTTTCCTCAAAAACCTCATTTCCATAGCATTGATTCGAGATTTTTGTCTCCCAGTCAATGTCCATGACTCGCTATTATACATTATTGTAGGTCTAACTACTGATTTAACGACTGTCGTTTTTACCTTCATCGGTATTTCTTTTTTCCCCAAAAATGTTGTTTTTATAGTATTAAATAAGGTTCCTGTTCGTCCCATTCTCTCATATATTTCCATGTCTTGTTTACCGTTTGATTCAATTATTACTCCTAGGTATTTAAAATGTTCCACTTGTTCTAGTTGTTTTCAGTTTAATTGTATTGCGTGTGTTTTTCTCTTATTTGAAATTATAATTGTTTTTGATTTCTCTCTATTTATCTTCATATTTATGTTTGTCAGTTCTTCTTCTAGGATTTCAAGGTTGTTCTGTAGGTCTTCTCTGTTTTCAGCTATCAAAACCATGTCATTTGCAAATAGAAGCTCTGATAGTTGAGTCTGTTTTATTTGCCAGTATCCTAATGTTAGTTGTCTCATTCTTCTCTTGGTTTTCTTTATTGCTTTATTAAGTACCACTTAGAACAGCAGTGGGCTCAACATGCATCCCTGTTTGACGCCTTGACTTGTAGTAAATTCTTTGGATTCCTCGTTATTGGTTCTCACCGTATTTGTGTTATTATTGTACATATCCCTTATTATATCAATTGTTATCCTGTCAACTCCTCTTTCCTTTAATGTCCTCCATACGTCCTTTCTTTGGATTCTGTCAAACGCCTTTTCCAGATTAATAAAACATATATGTATTTGAACTTTGATGGTATACAAGGCAAATATCGAACACAGTAATTAATGAAATCTTGCCCAAGTACTTTCGATCAATAGATCATCCTCAGGGGCATCTGAAATAAGCCAAGAAACGTTTTTTATAAAAAAGGAAAATTAATTCACTTCTATAAAAAACTTGAAGTTTATGGTTGAAAAAAGTTTTTATGTGATAAACGTTTATAGACTTACTTCGTCAGTTGTGGCCTATCCGACATGAACAAAATGTCATACATGTAAATTTGGACATAACAATACAATACACAAAGACAAACAAACACTTTAAAATTTTTAAAAATGGAGAAGCTACATGTTATATAGAAGCCGGAGACAGAATGGCTCCCGGTCTGGCGGAAATATTGAGATGACATGTGACAAATGACAGCTTGTAAAGGGCAGTTATCATAGATATGTGATCTGCACCTTTCAAAATGCTATGAAAGCCGCCAGACCGGGAGCCATTCTGTCTCCGGCTTCTATATAACATGTAGCTTCTCCATTTTTAAAAATTTTAAAGTGTTTGTTTGTCTTTGTATATTGTATTGTTATGTCAAAATTTACATGTATGATATTCTGCTCATGTCGGATAGGCCACAACTGTCGAAGTAAGTCTACAAACGTTTATCACATAAAAACTTTTTTCAACCATAAACTTCGAGTTTTTTATCGAAGTGAATTAATTTTCCTTGTTTATAAAAAACGTTTCTTGGCTTATTTCAGATGCCCCTGAGGATGATCTATTGATCGAAAGTACTTGGGCAAGATTTAATTAATTACTGTGTTCGATATTTGCCTTGTATACCATCAAAGTTCAATTATTCGAACATTCAACCTTATATTGACTTATATTGATATATGTATTTCTATATTTTTATTGATTACTTTCTCACTTACTTGTCTTATTATGAATCTGTGGTATTGTGTGCTTCTGTCCTTCCTGAATCCACATTGTTTATCTTTCATAGTTGGTTCTATTTGGGTTTTTATTCTTGTTTCTATTGTTCTTGCGAATACCTTCCCAAGAATACTTGATAAAGTAATAACTTGGTAATTATTACAGTTTCGCTTGTCGTCCTTTTTGTGTGTGGGTAGTATAATGTCTTTCTTTCAGTTCTATGGTATTTCTGCTCTCTTTATGATATCATTCATTCCTTCTTTCATGCGGTCTACTCACTTTATTCCCATGAATATAATCATTTCCCGGGTGATATGATCCTTCCCTGGTGTTTTGCATAATTTAACTCTTTCAATTGCCTTTTCTAGTTCCTCTGTTGTTATGGGTTCTACTTTGTGTTTTTCATTTATTTCTTGTATCTCCACTATGTTGTCTACGTATGTATGAGTTAGCTCTTTGAAATGTTCTCTCCATCTTTCCATTATTTGGTTTTCTTCTGTTATTATCTTTCCATTGTTGTCTTTTATATTCGGCATCATGTGTTCTTTCTTTTGTCTGACCTAATTTAATGCGCCATAGAAGAGTTTTGATTTTCCCTATAATTATTTGTCATTTTTAGTCCAAACTTTTCCCATGCCTTTCTTTTTCTGCTTTCACAGCTATTTTAACCTCTTTTATTTTTTCTTCATATGCCTCATAGTCTTCAGGCGCTTTGTACTTAGATATCTCTTCCCTTTTGTATTTGTTATAACAAGTTTATTCTCCATACATATTCCTATTATTCTTTCACCATTTTTGTTTAGTATATGTTCTCCTTCTTTTCCCATGCATTCCTCAATTCCATTGTTATTATTTTCGACTTTACCATTTAGATCTCCCATTACAATTATATTTTCTTTCCCATTGTCAATTTGCATTTAGAGCTCCTCGAAAAATTTATCCTTCTCTTCCTTTTTTGCGTCTTGATTTACTCCGTAGGCTGTTATTATTGTCCATATTCCCTCGTCTATCAGTTTAATTTTCAGCGATAATATTCTCTGGTTAACATATGTTTCTTCTATAACGTATTGTAGTCTATTCGGTGCAATTATTATCCCTACGCCTTCTTTTGCTCTTTTCTTTGCATCAGCTCTTACCCAAAATAACCAATATCTTTGTGTATCTTCTTAAAACCTCTTCCTATTATTTTCGTTTCCGTTATTCCCAATATCTCTATTTTTTGTCTGATCATTTCGTCTACAAGTTCTACCTCTTTTCCATTGATGCTTCCTACGTTCCATGTTCCCATTTTAATCTCTCCCTTTTTCTGCGGTATATCTTTCATCTTCTCCCTATTTTCATCCTTTTTTACCTTTGCATCGTGCTTTTTCCTATCGTTGTTCCTATTCGTCTCCCTGGTCGTCACTGTCAGATCCTTTTCGTTGCTTTGGTCGTTATCAATATTCCTCTTGTGGGTGTAGTTTTCTAATTTTTTGGATGTTTTTCCAGTTCTTTTTTTATTTTGTTGCATCTCCATGCTTCTTGGTTTACTAACACCTTGTTGTAACCAATTTTGACATTTTTGTCTATCTCTTATTCGTTTTTTGCAAAATTTCTTAGGTGTTTCTGCTCTTCTTTCTCTTCTCTAGTCAAGTCATCATTGATGAATACTTTCTCTCCTACGACGTTTTTTAGTTTATATTTTTTGCCATGATCTCGTGTTTTTCCTCTTCATTTCTTAGTTCTATTACGCATGTATTCTCGCCTATTTTTTTAACTGTTGTAGGTGTAATATCAATTTGAAGATGTTTATTAAAAAATCCTTTTATTCTTTCGTTTAGAATGCTTGGTTCATTTGTATCTATTTTTAGACCATTCATTACAATGTTGTTTTTTCTTCTATTTTTTGGATTATTTCGACTGCTTTTTACATTTCTCGTAACTCTCTTCTTATTTCTGAATTCTCTTTTCTTATATACTGATTTTTTTTTAATTGTTCGTTTTCTACTGTCAGTTTCAGTAGAGCTTCGTTTGTTTTGTTTTGTTGCTCTTTAATTTCTCTTATTTCAGTTTTTATTTCTTTCTGTTCTTGCTTCATATCTTTTTGAGTTGTGTTCATTTCTTTCATCATTATTAATAACTGGTCTAATTTCTCAGATTCAGTTGTTTAGCGTTTTGTAGGAGTTCTTGGTGTTTTTTGCTGTTTACAAAAAAATCTATATTTTCTCCTTTTTCTCCCTTCATCTGTAGAGTATTCGTAGCTGTTCATTCTTACAATATTTTCCTTGGACTTTTCTTGTTATTTCGCTGTTTATCTCCTTCCTTTTCCTACACCGCGAACAGAGTCGTCGACCAGTCAACTTATCGAATCTCCGACCCTTATCGGTGTTTATATGTGGGTCACTTCTACCGAGTTACTTTTCGTTGTAAGTCCCGTTTTCCGAGTTATTTATTCACCATCGCCACTTTGCCGTCGATTTTAGTGGATGGAATAGATTAAAAAAAAATACTATAAATTTTAACCTAACAGAATGATTGATTTATAGAGTACAGTAAAATAGTAAAAATATATTTTTCATCACCTTAAATTTTAACCTAAAAATTGTTGACATTCCACATGGGTTAGTTGGGATGAAAAATTACTAGGGTGGTAATAAATTCGTAAAAAACTAGCAGAAAATGTGGTATTTAAAAAAATAATTTCGATTAATTCCGCTAGCTCGAATATTAAGCGAGCAGGAACGTTTCCAAATAATATTGGTATAGGGGTGAAAAATTATCATGGTGATTAAAGTTTAGTCTAAACTTAACACTTTTTTATTTAAGTTATAAGAGAACGAGAGTGAAATTGTAAAAAAATATTTTTTCACCTTAAATTTTAACCTAACGAATTGTTGGCTTTCCATAAGAGGCAGTTGAGGGGTGAATAATTACTAGGGTGGTAATAAATTCGATAAAACCTAGCAGAACACTGTGGTATTTCAAAAATATTTCGCTGGCTCAAATATTAAGCTAGTAGGACCGCTATCAAAAAAGACTGGTTTAGGGGTTCAAGATTATGAGGGTGGTTAAATTATAGTAAACATTTAAAAAATACCTCTTTAGTTCATTTATAAGTAGAGGAGGGTAAATTTGAAAAAAAAAGAATTTTCCCCTTAAATTTTATTCTAATAGAAAAATTGACTTTCCATAAGGGTAGTTAACGGGTAAAAAATTACTAACAATATAACCTTATATAATATGAAACATCCATAAGAATGTCAATCTTATATTTATTGATATAAATGGCAATCTGATTAGTGGAAAATATTAACTACACTCTGGTTTTTCCGGATACTACAAATATAAAATTTGTCTATATTTATCTTGTAATAGATTTTCCAATAGTTGTGACACGTATAACCAGAGAGATACATAATTTTGGGATATAAATACATAAACAATTGCTACTATTTTAATAATGTATGTTTGATTATCACAGTTTAGACATATTTAGCCAAGACTTTATACTTACGTCACAACGTCTTCTGTATTAGCAACTCCCAGTAAAATTAATAGGAAAAATACTACACTTGCAACCATCTTCTAACAATTTATTAAATAAATACAAAACAATAAAGACAGTTTACAATAATAAGCCTATTGAACCGTCATAGACGAATACACATTTTTTTGCGAGATGTGCTAATAAATCGAAAAAGAAGTGATAAAAATTATATTATCTAACATAACATGACCTTTTGATTTTTTTTTTGTTTATAAACGAGAAAATAATTATATTTTTATCAAATTGTAGAAATATTTAACTAGAATAAAATAAACTATACCTATGTGTGAATATATAAGCAACTAATGTAGGTCTGTCATTGACTATTTTATCATTAGAATTTCCGAAAAAGATATAACTAAGTTGTGTCTATTATTATTAAATATAATTGCTTCCCAATATTCACAGAAGTTGGGGGAAGACAAGACAAAATATTTATGTTACGGCGGATATCAATGATGTTATTATTTTATAAACACTATAAGTAAATTTAGCAATGATAATACATTTGATACTTTGGAAAATCCTGTTTTATCCGGGTTGTTAAAAATATCGAAGCATTTATACAAATTGCCCAACATATTGGTTTACTGAGGATGGATAAATTGAATGTTAGAGTAACCATGAGGTGATAAGAGGTCCATTTATAGAAACTTTAATTTTTTCCTGGAGTTTACGGTTACTTGATGGGAAATTCATGTTTATTAATAACAAAAATCCTGTTTGCTTACAAAAAAAAATCATCAACTTAAAATTTTTCACTATAAAATTAGCTTTTTCAAAAGAGAAATTTTAAACTATTTTAAAATCTATTTAGCTACAATTGACAACGCATTAAAAATAAACCTAAAATCAAGTATTCCCACTAAATTAATAAAAACGTAAGGTAAATTTGGTGGTAAACAGTAGTTGGGTTTAAATTGATTAAAACATACTTGAAAGTATTAAATTATATGGCAAGTTATAAATATAGAAGCATTTATACAAATTACCCAACGTATTGGTTCACTGAGGATGGATAACAACAATGTTTGAGTAACCATGAGGTGATAAGAGGGTTAAGGTCCATTTATAGAAACTTTAATTTTTTCCTGGAGTTTACGGTTACTTGATGGGAAATTCATGTTTAATAATAACAAAAATCCTGTTTGCTAATTTTTACAAAAAAAAATCATCAACTTAAAATTTTTCACTATAAAATTAGCTTTTTCAGAAGAGAAATTTTAAACTATTTTAAAATCTATTTAGCTACAATTGACAACTCATTAAAAATAAACCTAAAATCAAGTATTTCCACTAAATTAATAAAAACGTAAGGTAAATTTGGTGGTAAACAGTGGTTGGGTTTAAATTGATTAAAACATACTTGAAAGTATTAAATTTTATGGCAAGTTATAAATAAGTTTTTCATTATCATCTGTTTCTTTCATTCCATTGTTACCCTAATTATTAATGAACCTACATTACTTACCTACATTAACGAAATATTAATTCATCTAGTGTTTCCCGTCATTCATTGGAATGAATGGGGTTAACCCATTCATTTCCAGCGTTGCGTTTTCGCAACAGTTGACATAGGCCACTATGGCGTCATCTTTTGGAAAATGACATGACTAGACTTCGGCAAATATGCATATTGCATATTTTGCATATTGTGCATATTTTATGCAAATATTTCATATTTTGGCATATTTGTATAAAAGTTTGCATAAAGTGCGTAAAAGTTCAGATTTTTATACTGTATTTGAAAATTTTTAAACATACCAATTTATTTCAATTCTTGTATAAAATTTTGTAGTCATTTTAATCAAGAAATGATCTAAGTACGTAATCTCTACAGGTACAAAACATTTACAATTTCAAAGAAGATCAATTTAAGTAGCCCTCAACATTCTTAGAAAGTCTCGGTCACTGAGGCATTCAGTTATTGGATAATCGCTAGGGGTTCGCTCATTTCCATTTTATGATCCAATCCCCAAATCTATCTACAATTTACTGTATCTTAACAGCAGGTAAACGGCTAATAGTTTTGTTCCTAATTTAGGGATTTTCCAAAATCTCCCAGTTTATTGAATTAGGTACCTAAACATTTCTAATTTGATGCTCAGATTTGTAAATCATTTTTGTTTTGATATTCAAAGCGTAAACACTCGTTGTGCGTAACAAAAAGGAAGATTGTGATTTTATAATGCCTAAAACAACCAGTGCTTCAACTTGGATTAAACCTTATAAAGAGCTGTCTATGGATATGGGAAAAATCTACTGTTCAGTCTGTGGCAAAATTGTAAGTATCTAATATTTTCTATTAAATATCTAATATTTCATACATACAGGGTGTTTCCAAATGACACTTACAACGTTTGACTGTAGATACTTCTCGAAAAATTGAACAAAACGATATAGTTAATGAGGCGTCAAACTTATTTACTTTTCGAGATACAGGGTGTTAAAATTAAAAAAAAATTAAATTCTTTTAGTTAATAACAACAATAACTTTAAAACCAATAAACGTATTTACTTGAAATTTAGTACTGGTAGGTTGTTTTTAAATGAAAAATAGCTTCCTTTAGTGAGAAAAAATTGTCCATGGTACAATACAATGGTGTGTATTTAGAAAACAATTTCACCTTTACTTTTTTTTATGAAGTCAGCTATTCTAAAACACAATTATTTTTATTGTAATTGAATTAACAAAAAAAAAACTTTTGTTGAATTTTAAAATAAGTTATATGATGTACTAATGGTTAGTAACAAAAACTAATTTGTGGATTAATACTGCATTTAAAACACTTAGCGAGTGTTTTTTTTCCAAACCAGTTATTTGATTAACCAAAAACACCTTGTATATTTTTATATTTTAAAGGTTGGGTTAAAATAAAGGTTTTTATTTTTATTTATAGATAGCATGTGAGAAGAAATTTCAGATATACCAACATGTGAGAACTGCTTCACACATTGCAAAAAAAGGAAAAATAGGAGGAAAACATCAAACTTCAATGGCTAAATGTTTCCAATCTACTTCAAAAAAATTAGATGAGCAAGAAACTTTTAATGAAGACTTGTGTCGCGCATTAGTGTCTGAAAACATACCGCTTTCAAAATTAGCAAATGTAAATTTTAGTTCGTTTCTAAAAAAATATTGCAAACTTAATGTTCCAAGTGATCGGTCTCTAAGAAGAAATAATGTGAACGGGCTATACTCGTCGGTGTTAATTAATATTAAGGAAGAAATTGCAGATAATTATTTTTACATATCTGTAGACGAAACCACTGATTCCTCAGGAAAGTATATTGCTCATTTATTGATTGGTGTTCTTAAAGAAGATACCTTACCAAAATCTCATCTTATTTCATGCCAGCAACTTGAGAAAACAAATGCTTTAACAATTTCGCGTTTTATACAAGAAACATTAGCAACTTTTTTTCTTCCGACAACTAGTCCTTCTAATACTTCTAATAAATTACTGCTTATTTTATCGGATGATGCTCCTTATATGATGAAAGCAGGACAAAATTTAAAAATATTTTTCCCAGATTTAATACATGTTACTTGTGTAGCGCATGGATTAAACAGAGTTGCAGAG